ACAGCGTCTCATAAGTTGATGAAGCTGACCTCAAACTTACGATTCTCCTGCCTCAGCCTCCCAAGTCATGGGGATGCCAGGTATGCACCACCACACCTGGCAACATAGCTCACTGTGGAGGAGAGCCCTTATTTCAAGGAGTTAACAAGATTTTTCTTTAGTGTTTCAGCTAATACATGTCATATGAACATTCTGCTAGGACCACGGAGGATGGGGAGATGGCCAATGTAACATTATGTAAAAAAAAAAAAAGACATTAATAAGATGGGATGTTTTAGAATAAATATCATCCTCTCTGAACTAATTTGGAGTGGAGGTGACTCACAGAAGCTTCCACATCTTTCAAGATACCACAGCAGCAGCTTTCCTGCTCTCCTACATCTCTGTGGGCAGGCCTTTGCTTTCACAGTAACTAGATGAAAGAGGACCGAGCACTTTGTTCAGAAAAGTGGCACCAGCTCCAAGCCACCGTTCTCAGACCTCTCTGGATGGGCAAAAGCCAGGTGAAGATAATTTGTGTCTCATGTGAATGCTCACTAAAGGTTGACCTCAGCAGAGGAAGAGTTTAATAACCAGGTGGATAGGGTGACCCATTCTGTGAATAACAGTCAGCCTCCTCTCTATCCTCCTCTGTCACTGTGCAGAGGCTTGTGAACACAGTGGCAGTAGTGGCAGGGATAGAGATTATGCATGGTCTCAGTGACATAGACTTCCACTCACTAAGACCGACCTGGCTGTGGCCACTGCTGAGTGTCCAATCTGCCACCAGTAGAAACTAAGGCTGAGCTCCTGCTGTGGCATCATTCCCCAAGGGGATCAGCCACCTATCTAGTGGCAGGTTGATTACAGTGGGCTTCCCCCATTATGGAAGCACCGGCATTTTGTCATGACTAGAATAGATACTTATTCTGAATATGAATTTGCACTCCCCTGCACATGCTTCTGCAAAATTTATCATTCGTGGACTTACAGAGAGGGTCCTATCTACCAACATTGCTATTCCACACGGCATTGCTTTTGATCAAAGAACTCATTTCACAGCAAATGAAGTGCAGCAGGGGGTCCATGCTTGTAGAACTCACTGGTCTTCCCAGGTTCTCCATCATCCTGAAGCAGGTGTCTTGGTGAAATGGTGGGATGGCCTTTTGAAGTCACAGTGACAGCCCCAGCTAGGGGGCAATACCTTGCAGGGCTTGGCAAGGTTTTCCGGGAGGCTGTGTATGTTCTGAACCTGTGTCCATGAGTGATGTTGTTTCCCCCGTTGATTCCACAAATCAAGGGGTGGAAATGAGAGTTGCACCACCCACTTTTACTCCTACTAACCCAATAGCATAAAATTTGTTTTCTCTTCCCGCAATTTTATGCTGTTCTGGCCTACAGGTCTTGATTCTGTCAGGAGACACAACTGTGATTCACTGAACTGAAAATTAAGGCTGCCACTGGCCACTTTGAGGTCCTCATGTCTGAGTCAAAAGGCAAAGACGGTAGCCACAGTGATGGCTGGCATGACTGATCCTGACGACCAGGGGAAGTGGACTACGGCACTACGGTGGCCGTAAAGATGAGCATATCTGGAACACGGGCAATCCTTCAAGGTGTCTCTCAGCATTATCATTCCTTGTGGTTAAGGTCAATAGGAAACTACAACAGCTAATCCATGCAGGGCTATAATGCCCCCGACCCTTCAGGAAGGCAGAGTAGGACCTCCCACTAGGCAGGACCCAGGACCCACTGAAGTGTTTGCTCAAGGCAGAAGGGTCAAAGAATAGGTAGTAGAAGGTGAGGGAGGAGAACATTGAGCAAAACTAAAGTGTTTCCTTCTTGCCTTGAAGATGGAAGAAACCCTGAGCCTATTTTTAAGTTGAAGGGAAGGAGAGTTGGCAAAGAGCCCTGGGAAAGAAGGGGGCTGTCTGAGAGGTAGGAGGGGACAGCCATCCTGGTGCATACAGAGGACACCTGAATATGCTGTGAAGTAGGAGGCCAGGGGTATAGGGCAGACAGAAAACACCATCTACAGCAAAAACATAAACCCTATGAGGCAGGTAAGGGTAAAAGAGGAAGGGATTTCAGAAACAAAGATGACAACATATTTCAATTAATGGCCACAGAGATAAAAATATTTTCATGCAGAATATTTATTCCAAATGTTCTGTTGTGTATTTAACAATGTATCCAATGCACATTTTTTACATGGAGCAACATCACCACGTCTGGCTTTGATTATATACTCAACATTTTAACTTTTCAACTTTCCATGAAAATCTACATCAGACATGGATCCGTGGTATGTGCCAAGTAAATCATTCTTAAATACAGGTTGACTGTCCTTTAAACCACTTGGAAGACCACTGCCTTCTATTTGCTTCTGCATCTTCTAGATAGTAGCCCTCTATGCTCTTTATAAACAGAAGCATGAGCTTTTGAAGAACTGAAATATAGTATTTACACATAAGGTGATGAGAAGTGTTTCATGATATACAAATTAATATAGCACAAGATACTGTGTAGAAAAAAATAAACTTACAGTGAATAAATATAAACCAGTTTTATATATCAAGGAATATGTGGAGTATAAAAAGTAGTCCTTATATATATACATATACACATATATAAAAATGTGTGTATGTCCTAGAGTATAAATATGCTATATACTTAAATACTTCATGTGAAAGAACATCTGCAGCATCTATTTTTAGTTTTTCACATTAAAATACTGGTGGCAGTTGGGGTCCCCTCTGATCTCCAGAGATCCCGGGATCCTCCTCCCACTCCAAGGGTAGACACACCAGCACAGTTCTGCCTCTCCATCCAGCGATGTCTCACACTGCAATGACAAGACCAAGGTCAAGAGCAGCAGACAAGGAGCGGACAGGGAAGGTGTGGTCTGGCCAGCCCCCTCCCTGAGCGCAGCCAGAGCATTACAGAGCCACCCACCAGCCAAGAGGGCAAATCCAACACCCTCCTTACTCTCAACACATATGGAGACAATGGCTGAGTAGCATATGTGATAAGAACTTAGTAAATGTGTGAAAGCCCAGTCCCAAGGCAACATATCCCACGTTGGAACCACTGTTCCCTGTGTGTTATGAGGCAGCGTCTAGACCTCAAGTTTCTCCCCTCCCTCATTAAAAAAAAATACCCTCCAGAATGTGTGCTTCTCTGAGTCCTAAAAGCTTCCTCAAAATTAAGTCTGGGTTTGTTTGGTCACATTTATTATTTACAAGTCACAAATATGTTCTTGTACTTTATTTTAGAGGTTGTTTCCCCTTGTGGGGGAGAAAAAGTAACAGATGTCCAAAGAGACTTTCTCTTCCAAACTGAGTTTGTTTTGTTTCTCTAGCATTATAGGCCAGGAACTGATATCACAAGTGTTAGGAAACCTGTGAAGCCCTCTGTCTCCTTTGCTTGCTGAGTGATTGAGCAAGGGTCAGCTCCAGACTGCTGGCCCAGCATAGGGTTTCCTCCACTGGCTTTGGAATATTGAGAAGCTCATGAGACTACATTGGAACTAGCTTTTCCTGATGCCCACAGGAAACCAGCTTAATAAAATCAGCGATGGTATACATGTAGGACTAAACATTCTTTACCATGGATGTGGGGCAACGGTGGCTATCCCTATGAGAACACCCAGTAATAAGGCCACCTACCTGTTTGCTGTGATAAAATCCATTCTTGTTGCAGTTTGGCAGATAAAATTTGTAAATTTCTTCTCCTGCTTTCTGTTGTGCCTTAGCTAATCTCTCCAGCACTTTGTAGAGTTCTCGTCGGCAAGGCTGCTAAAAGAAAAATTTGATTAGAATGAATAACAGAAAAAGTAAATTATCATCTTAAATGATAACCAATTGGGGTTTTGTATGGGCCAGAGCAGCCCCAACATTTAGCCATGAGGTCCCAGGACCCAGTTCCAAATTACCAGCAGTCTCTAGGACTTCTTTTCCCACATGTGTGCAAGGGGTTTGGTCTCTGACTTGAGCTTTTAGGATAAAGGATGGGAACATCACTCCCTCTCCCTCACTGAATGCTTTCTAAACACCTATACAGAGACATCCCCTGGCAAAAGTCTAGCCAATACCATAAAACCTTTCTGTACTCCTCCTGCCACTTGTTGGCACCCACCATTTGGTAGAAAGGAGAGTGAGAAAACAGAGAATTTAGCAGAAGAGACTTTCAGATTTTGAAAAACTTTGCAATCTACAAAGTTATTTCACATAATCCAAATCAAGTGAGCAACAAGGCATCCTGAGATAAGAATTAACTTTCCTCCATTTGTCATCATTTCCAGTTGAAATTCTGAAGCATCCAAAAAATAATTCAGTATTTCACTCTTCTGGACATGCATGTCTTTTATGCCTTGCCCAACTCGGGAATGAAATTAAGTCACTCCAACTTTGGTTCTCTGTCGCCCTCGAGTGGTAGAATTAAAATGTGATGGGAAGTTATTTTTTAATGGGCTTCGAGTTTCAGTTTGGGAGATGGATGGTGATGAGGGATGGTGATGATGGTTGCCATATGTACTTAATGAGACAGAAGCTTGTATTTACAATGGCTAGAATGATAAATTTTGTGTATATTTTACCATAATTTTTTTTAAAGGGACAAAAAGATATGACGGGAGGCAGGATAGTTAGGCTCTTGTGCTTAGCTTCAGCAAAGTATAACCCAATGTTCTTTAGTGATTTTTCTACTCTGACCCCTTGTTTAGGGATGAGCTCAGAGACATGAAGTAACCTGCCTAAAGGTATTTAGCAGCAAATGCATCTAACCATAGGGCCTCACCTTCCATTTTTTTATGTCGGCCATCTCACGGGCCCTCATGCTTTTGTAGGTACTGATGGCATTCCAAAGAATGGGCTGGTCCTCGCTGGAGGAGGCCATTAGGTGGAAATTCTCTAATAGCTGCTCTTCAGTCATCTCCGCACTCTCAGGAGGCACTCTCTCGGGGACCATGGAGGCCTTCGCTTCTGAAAAAGAAATGCAGCAAACTCATGAGCCCTCTGAAAACACCTGCCCTTGACTCCCCAGAGTCACTCCCTTCCCTCAAAACCACCAGGCCAGGATGCAACTATGGTCAGGTTAACCCAGATTTTTGGAGACAGTCTCTGGGAAGAGATCATCGATGACCCAACAGCAATCCCAGTTCAATTCTAGAAGAAACTAGTTCTGGAGGGTGTTAAGGGTGCCCCATGATTTTAGTTCTAAAAATCATGGGAAGGAGCAACATGTAAGTTTGCTGAGGCCAGGAACACCCGGAATAAGCCAAGGATTAGGGCTCAATTCTTGACCCCATTAGTGAGGAGTCTTAGAACCTCAGATTTCCATCCATAAAATGTGATATCCCATAAATAGGTGGTAGAGTTCAGTGAGAGGTAGGGTCTAGAATGCAGCTCCCCTAACCCAAACCAGTAGTCTCTTGTCTTCCAGGGGGCTCTGCCCTATTCACTAAGTGAATACTAAGTGACTTCTCTGTAACCAACGTCTTCTCTGCCCCCATCCAAAGAAAGGGAAGTCACTAGACACCTTGGAGATAGAGTCCAAGGATACATGGAAAGAATCTGAGAGAATTAGCTCAAAGGACCTCACCCCTAGCCCAAGGGAAATCCATTTCCTTTGAGGAATGTTGAGACAGCTCCATTTCTTTTACTCTCAAGGACAGGAAAAACTGTGTTCCCTACTCAGAATAGTCTGGTGCTCCCATACAGATTCCTATTAAGTTATGGAACCTGGAGACTACTCCAAGACCCACTCAGGAAGTGCAACCAGCCCAGATGGGGAGATATGGGGCTGGAGTAGAGGAAGAGGCATTTCCTAAGCTTCCTACTACAAACAAATCACTGCTTAAATTCAGGAAGCAACTTGATTGTCAAGTTCTAAGGGGCAACATACACATCAAACACTGTTTGTCTATGGCAATGAATGGAAATGAAGTTTTTAGCTTAAATTTTCACATTATGTTCTGTAAACATCTGGTAAGCACATACTGTATCCACAGGACATATATTACAAAGGACATTCCAACCACCTCCTGGAGGGGCCAGCTGGAGGGAGTCCCATCCTAAACCTTTCCAAATGAATGCACCAGCCCCGGGGGCTGTCACTGGCAGGGGAGAGGAGGGCTAAGTCCCCACAGTCTCATGGCCTCCACTATCTTGATCTCAAGAGCTCAATGGGCCAGGGTGCCTCCTGTGGGTTCTCTTCCCTATGCTCCACTAAGCTGTGCGCCCCTGGGCCTCGGCCTTGACCTTTTTCCGCAGGGGCACCTCCCCCCAGGACCCAACAATATTGGGCCTCCACTAAGTGACTGAAGCTCTTTTCCCCACTACAGACTCCAGCTTCAAGCACTCCACCTGAGCCATCTGTAACCCACTCACTGTGGGCTTTGGACAAGTCCCTGTCGGGCTTCCGGCCTCTAAAATATCCCAGGACAGGGGCTATAGTACCCTCACCTTCTTTTTCAATGCTGGAGAGTCCACTCGCGGTGGGGGTGGCAGGCTCAGGCACGCAGGCGCCCTGACCCCGGGTGAGAGCGTGCAGGGGCCGAGGTTCTCCCGGCAGTGCACGGCAGCTGAGTCCCCTGGCACAGCGTGCAGTGGCCACGCCGCAGGCAGCGCCTAAAGGCAGGGCACACATAGGGCAGCAGCCGCAGCCAGCAGGCCGGGAGAGTTCCGGGCACGAGGAAGGCACTGGTGGGCAGAACGCGAGCTTCTCTGCGGAGCAGGGCGCACAGTGCCAGGGTTGAGTCGAGCTGGCAACCGTGCTGACCTGGACAGCCAGCAGGAGCAGGAACGGCCAGAGGCCGGCAGCTGGGACCTCAGGCATAGCAAAGTGAGGGTAGCAGGCAGTGAACGATGCTCTCTGGGCAGGTAGCAGCGGCACGGTGGTCAATGCTCTCTGGGCAGCTGGCAGTGGCTTGATAGGTGTCCAATTCTGAGTCGCCGTGGGCAGTGCACGATGCTTGCTGGGTGCAGCCCTTGCCTTATAAAGGGCGCGGTTCACTCCACTTGGACTAGAAAGTTAATGATTGCCAGCGCGGCGTGCTAGGAGCCCAGTGTTCAAAATAAGTTTGTTTTGCTCCTGCTTTGTGCGCAAACCGTGGGTGGAAGAAGGGTAAACGGTTCCGGTTTCAGACAATGTTTGTCCTGTTGTTATGAGGGTTAAGGCCTGGAGCTAAAGTCCATATCTAACAACAAGCATGCAATCAGATGGGGGATGGCACTTGTTTTTGTTGAAAGACAGTCATCTTGGTTAGCCAATGCTCTCCTACTGGACTCAGGGAAAGCCTGAGCATTCATATGGGGAAACCAAGGCCTGGGGTTGGAAGGTTGAACACATGAAGACCAGGTCTCTGTAAGCTTCAAGAAACATGAGTAGGGAGTGGATTCTCTATGGCTAAGCCCAGAAGTGCCTCCCTTGTTCTGCAGGAAGACTCCTCCTAGCAGTCAGGGAAACCCACAGTCTACAGGGAGGTTTCTGCCAAACCCATCAAATCTCACTTCAGCCCCAAGAGAAGGACCTTGTTAACTTCACCTCCAAAGAGACATGCTCAAAGCCTTAAGGAACAATCTAGGTGCTGGAAATGGAGCCAGGACCTCAAAACTCCTTCTGACATTATGGCTTAAGCCAAACATTTATTAATATCAAATATGAAATCTTTTCTTAGGTAAAATTCCTATTTCTTGGTTATTCTCTTAGATCACAAGGGAGGAAAAGAAGTCAGATGCCTTTAAAGAAAATCAGAAGTGAGCTCATCTCCAGGAGCTGCAGGCTCTCTCTCTGGCACCTGGTCCATGGCTTCTCAGGGAAAAGACTATGACCAGGAAAGTGTGGAACCCTGCCTCTGGGACTCCAGGAGCAGCATTTCCTCCAGCCCTACATTTCCTCACCTGCCTGTCCCCATCTTTGCTGGTCTAGTCACAGGCCCAGAGCAGCCCCCAGCCCTGGTCCTGACCCCTGTTTGCCCTTCCCTTCAGATTCTTTAGGAGTGGTATTTCAGGTCTGGAGTCAGGAGGGTGGTTGGGGTGGCAAGCATCTGTCCAGTCCCTTGCTTTACATTAATGGACTCTGAGGCCAGGGGGTGAAGAACATTGCAGGTCAAAGTCACAAAGGCTGTTATGGCACACCTTGCACTACTGGTACACTGTGGTGCACTCCTGTTCATGTTATCTGAGTCTTAAGAAAATGCCTTTCTCTGTAACTTGGCTAAATAAGGAACTGATATTCTTCCATTCAAGGAAACCAGCACTGATGCTTCCTCCAGAGCAAGTGTATGGGGAAGTGACAATAGTGACTAAGTACTTCTGGAATTTGAGGTTCATTGAAAACCCTAAAAGATAAGAAATGCAATACCAAGGACCAGGGATATGGGTCAGGGGGGCACTATGATAGCTCACAGTAGAATACCTGCCTGCCGAGAAGTCTCCTGAGTTGGGAGTTAAGGATTAAGGAGGCTTTAGAAGGTGTGGGGCTGAGGGAAGATATCCAAGGTGGGTGTGGAGGAGTTAGTAGCAGAGGAACATGGCCCCATCACACAGAAGCTTGCAAAGTGTTCAGGGAGACTAACCAAGATGGTCGCTGTATCCAACCCCAAGGAAAGGTCCTCCTTTGATTCACCAGAGAAGGTTAGAGGGAGTTGTCTCTGACCCTACTTCCTGGTGCTGCAGAGATGGACACAGCCCAAGGCCACCAATGAGGGGAGCCATATGGGAAAGAGGAAAGGATACTCAAAGGACAAGTCTTGCTGGCCCTGGGCTAAATAGCCCGCAGAATTGGAGACAGGTGTGAGATTATGTTGTGCTCCAATGTGAAAATGCACCAGCCAATCAATCTCTACTCTGAAGCCATCCTGCTCACAACCTAAATGTCTATTGCCAGGGGCTGGATAACTAAATCTTTGGGGGCATCTTTTCACTGGGAAATATGAAGTTATTAATGAGGAAAAAAGCAGCTCTATATTATATTATAGACAAAAAAATCTTCAAGATGAGTACTTTTTCAAATTAAATAAAATCCCCAAGCTCAGAATGAGAAGGTACAGAATATGCCATTGTTGATTATATAATAAAAGTAACTGTGACTAAATTTATGGGATATCTTGAGAACACTACATGAAAACAGATATAATGCCCACTTGGCAGTAGGGTAGTGTGTGAATTTAAGTGGCTCAGGGACAGTCTGGACTTTTCTGTATCCTTTCTGGATTTGTATTATATATTTAGCTTCTCTGTTACTTTACCTACCTAAGAACAACAAAATTGAAATTAACTTATTACCTCCTATCCTAGTCACTTCCCTGGTTCCCTGGACCCAAGAAAGTGCCTCGGTTTTGCCATGTTCATTTTTTGTTCTACCTGGAAAGTCTCAAAGAGCAAGAGCTCCAGCATCTCTTCAGCAACGATCAAAATAAAATCCATCAAAGTAATTTTACTTGGAAGTTCATGATCATGTTTGTCATTTTTTATTGAGATTTCAAATTTACTTTAACATTTTTGTTTTAAAATTAATATTTTAAATTTAAATTTTAATTGTTTTAAATTAACACATTTGATGTGGGTCCCTAAAATAATTTTATTTGTAGAAGAATTTGTGCTCTGGATTTTCTGTTCTCTTTGACTTCTTCAATTTGTGATCACCATCCACACTTTGAACAATTTCTTAATGAAAAACATGAATGAGAAAATTTTTTTGGCAAATCCTTGGGGCCCACCTACTGTATGCCAGTTAGTTTGCCTGGGCCTGGACAGTTCACCCCATCATGCACTTACCCTCCTGCCCTCCCTTCCTCCCTGAGGTCATCCTCATTTTGCACGTAGTGGATCTTCCCTGAAGATCGATTTCCCAAATGTTTCCATTGCTTGCCTCATTGCATCAAACAAACCAAACAGCCACTAAACCTAAGAGTTCCGCTTTTCCTCCCAACCCTCTGTCAACACAAATGAACTCAGCCCTTTCCTCCAGGCCCATTTGGACTCTCTGTTCATGTGTCAGTCCTCTGTGGGGTGAGCACAATAGTGACTCAGCCACCTGTGACTTGCTCCTCTAATCCTAATCCAGGCCAAAGACTCCAAAACTCTGGCTCATTTTCCAACTTTAATGAACCTACTCCCCTGTTCGTTAAAAACAACATAATTTTCCTTCCACACCACAAGACTCTGGTCTTGCTGTCCTCTTGCCTGAATTTCCATTGTCCCACCGACCTCATCTCCAGAGCCCATGATCTCATATCCATCCCAGAAGTTTTCTTCCAAGACTCTGTCCTGATAACCCCCACCCTCCTGTGACCAAAGACAGCAGAATGTATCTTTCTTCCTTCCATTTTCTCCATCATGCATTTTCTGAGCTCCTGTCTGCTTTCTTTGTCCCAAACAATGGTAGCCAAATGGCATGGAGGGAGCTCTTCTTTCAGTGTGGTGGGTTTGGAGCTAGGTTTGTGGAGGTAGGTAATGAGACACCCCAGACTGAGCAGCAATCTGACATATTCACAGTCCTAGTGGGAGGAGGGTTATAAACTCATCTTGAGGGTTATAAACTCATCCTGCGATGATTGTGGTGGTGAAACAGGCCAGAGACCGGCCTCCAGAAGACCCTTGCCATAATTAAGCCTCTCCTCTTGTCAGATCAGCAGGATGTCTGCAGAGGTTATTGCGGCTGGGAGTTTTCCTCATTCTTACAAATGCCAGGTTTGCACACAAAAGATGTGACAGAGTAGAGTCTCTAAGCTTGTTATAAAAAAAGATATTATCTCTGTTTTCTTAGTAAAAACTTGTGAAACCTGTGTCTGGATCAGAGAGCACTTGTCATATGAACCTCTTAGGTCTCCTTAAAAGGGTGTAAGTTTCAAAGAATTTCTATACTCCATTGTTCAGAGGAAGAATTCTTAGGCAAGAGCCACCTCTGGACCCTGCAGTCAATAAACCTGCTTCCTGAAAATTCCTCAGGTGCCCAGCCTCTTCTGTCCTACTTCCGTGGCAAAGAAAAGCATGCAGTGTGTTCAGGCACCTCTGGAAAAAGTGCCGCCGTGGCTGGTCCTGAAACACACATAGTACTCCTCCGAGCAACAAAGAATGAAGATGCTGTGTGAGAGCACAGGGATGGGAGCCGGTGAGGGCAGGGAACTGGAGAGAGTATGGTGTTCTGCCGGTAGCCAGAGGTTCCTCCTGTCTGTGGGGAACATGGAGTAGGAGAACATTAGAAAGGGACCCTGACACATCACCAGGGTGGGGAGCAGCTCTGGAGATCCTCTTCCAGCCTCCTTTTGGAGCATCAGCCAGACACCCAGATGGAACGGAGGATTGTTGAGACACAGCCCCATCCTCAAACATCTAGAGGGGGAAAATAAACAGATGCTATAACAAATGTCCTGCAGCTTGTAATAAATGCATGAAGGAGAGAAAAGGGCCACTGGGAGGAGGGCATGGAGGGATGCTTTCAATAGATGCTTTGATGCTGGACAGAATTTTTAGCAGAGTCAGAGAATGCAGCATGACTATGGTGGGACAAATAAAGGAAGCCAGAGAGAAGGGATCCACGTGTCACCTCAAGGACTCCCTAGTTACTTGTATAACCCTTGTGCTACTATGTGGTCTTTGGGAAGTTGTCAGTGACTCTAAGGGCTCTTTGAACATCCAGAGCTTGAAGGCCATTCTTAGGCTCAGTTCAATCTTCACGGCTATGGTCCTGTCTCCCTTTAACCCCTTCTCTATTGTCTGAGACGTGCTGTAAATGGCCTCTCCTCCCCACAGTCTTCCCTGGGTCCCAGGGAGATTTAGGCAGCTTCCATAGCTTCCCAAAGCATGAGGATGCATTGTGTTGTAATCATGCTGAAGATCTAAACAAGCTCACACCTCTGTGTGTGTGTGCGTGTGTGTGTGTGTGTGTGTTTGTTTCCCATCTGGCTGAGTGGGCAGGAATGGGTGCCCAGTGGCTCCTCTGCCCAGAACCTACACAAGACACAACGGGTGCCCATAAACAAGTGTGGAATCCAGGAGCTAAGAGTACCTGGACACAGGGTGGGGAGTAGCCAGGAATGGGCAGAGGAGTGAATCAGTATTTTTAAGCACTTAGTGTATACACCTAGTATCAAGTGGAGACAAAACTGTTACCAGGAGGTCTCATCAGCACCAGCTGGGGCTGCAACCCCTTCTTGACCTGAATCAAAGCCTTGTGATTCCTGCAAACCAAGCAGGCATTTGATGTAGGGTAAAGCCAAAAGTGTCTTCATGTGCTGGGGCAATTTCAGGCTTGTTTGGGGAGGCAGTGTTGAAAGATGGTTTGGAGGCTATAACAAATCTTAGGAAGATTTTGGTGCCAGTTATGGAATATGTATTATGTCAAATTGAACAACAAAAAAAGAACATATGACAGTTACTGGAAGATAGCCACCACCTCCTATCCTGCTGTAAATTCTCTGTGGTAGAGAAGAGGAAACCACTTTAGAAAAGGCAAGAAACACATGGTGGTGGCACTCCCACTATGGACTCCAGGGGGCGCCAAGTGAA